CCAGAAGCTGGGGGAAAGACAGAAGGAGGAGTTACTGTTTAATGAGTATAGAGTTTCAATTTCACAAGATCAAAAGAGTTCTGAAGATAGATGGTGGTGATGGTAGTTGACACAACATTATGAAAATATTCAATACCACTGAACTGCACATTTAAAAATGGTCAAAATAGTAAATTTTACATTGAGTGTATTTTACAATGTAAAACATTAGGAAAAAAGATGAAAACAATGGGCAGTTCTTAGGCATTAACAATTAGTACACATCTAGTCATACCATTTTATTCTAATTCACTATTAAAACGGATTAAAAGCAAAACTGATTTTCAAAAATTTATATAAGTAAAAATAAAGAAAATTATATATATGCACATTAAATTTAGAAATATTTTTAAAGGTTTGTCAGATCACTTTCTGCAAGGTTATAATACACTCCCATGTGATACAAAATTTTGTTTATTCTTGTTTTTTTTTAAACTTTTCCATAATTCCACCTTCTATGAGTTACTGAATCATTTTTCCTACCCTTACTGGTAAGAACACAAACAAAATAGCTGTTTCATAAAAATGAATCCATTATTTCAAATTTGAAAGCCACATTTACTTTTCCTTTAAAACTACACGAACTACTTTCAGATCTTTTATCTGTGCCAACCAGCTTGTGTTGCTTACCTTCTCACAAAAGTTCCTGAGTCTCACATTACTTTACATTCATTATGTCTATTAGCCTGTATTTGCATAGAAGTCACTACATAAAGTATATGAGAATTACATAACAAAGTTCACCTAAACCCAATTTCCTTCACACTTCCTGAAAAATTAGGTTATGAGAATTTACTGCTATGTCTCTGCTGCCCTCTGTAGGTATGGTGTCTTAGTCCATTTTGCTTTGCTATGACACAATACCATAGGGTAGGTAATTTACAGAGAAAAGAAGTTTATTTCTTTCAGTTATGGAGGCTGAAATTCCAATATTAAGGTGCTGGCTCCTGGTAAGGACCTTTGTCCTACACCTTCCCATGGCAGAAAGCAGAAAGACAAGTGAGGGTGAGAGCAAGGGACAGAAAATTTTTATAACAACACGTCCTTGTGGTAACAAACCCACTACTGTGATAATGATATTAATCTATTCATGAGGGCAAGGCCCTCATGGCCTAATCCTAATACAGGAACCATTAAAAGGTTCTTTTAACATATACCATTCTTTTAATATATACCATTCTTACACTGGTATAAAGATATGCCTGAGACTGGGTAATTTATAAAAGACGAGGTTTAACTGTCTCAGTTCTGCAGGCTGTACAGGAAGCATGGTGGCATATGCTTCTGGGGACGCCTCAGGGAGCTTTCACTCATGGTGGAAGGCAAAGTGGGTGCAGGCACTTCACATGGTGAAAGCAGTGAGAGGAGGGAGCAGATACTTCACACGGTGAAAGCAAGAGAGCAAAGCGGGCAGTGCTACACACTTTTATGTATTTATGTATTTATTTTTTTAATAGAGACAGGGTCTTGCTATGTTGGCCAGGTCAGTCTCAAACTCCTGGGCTCAACTGATCCTCCCATCTTGGCCTCCCAAAGTGCTGGGATTATAGGCAGGAATCACGGTGCCAGGCTGCTACACACTTTTAAATTATCAGCTCTCACAAGAACTCACTCACTATTGTGAGGACAGTACCAAGGGGGATGGTGCTAAACCATTCATGAGAAATGCACTTCCATGATCCAGTCACTTTCCACCAGGCCCCATTTCCAACAATGGAAATTACAATTCAACATGAGATTTGGTTCAGGACACAGACCCAAACTGTATTAGTCCCATATTTTAATATTGTCACCATGATAATTAAATTTCAACAAGAGTTTTGGAGGGGACATTCAAACCACAGCAAATGGTTCTTGAAGACACTAATAAAATAAATTATAAAACCCCAGTCAATAATATCAAAGTACTATCAAGTTAATATGGAAAGTCATATCAGTAATCAAATACATCTGTTAAATGTCCTAAAAGAAAATACTACAGGCCAGGCGTGGTGGCTCACACCTGTAATCTCAGCACTTTGGGAGGCCAAACTCTTGTACACTGTTGGTGGGAATGTAAATTAACACAGCTATTATGGAGAACAGCATGAAGGTCTCTAAAAAAATGAAAAAATAGAACTACCATATAATCTAGTAATCCCACTTCTGGGCCAAAGGATTGAAATCAGTATGCTAAAAAAAAATCTGCATTCCCATGTTAATTGCAGTGCTATTCACAATAGCTAAGATTTGGAAACAATCTAGGTGTCTAGATGAATGCATAAAGAAAATGTAGTATATCTATACAATGGAATACTATCCAGTCTTAATAAAGAAGGAAATTCTATCATTTGCGACATGAATGAACCTGGAGGACATTACGTTAACTCAGATAAGCCAGGCACACAAAGACAAATACAGCATGATCTTACTTACATGGGGAATCTAAAAAAGTAGAACTTACAGAATCGGGGTAGAATGTTGGTTACCAGAGGCTGGGAGAGAAAAGTGGATGGAGAAAGGGAAGATGCCGATTAAAGGATACAAAATTTCATTTAGACAGAAGGAATATGCTTTAGTAATCTAATACACAGAATGATGACTATAATAACAGTGCATTGCATTTTACAATTTTTTAAAATGTATAGGCATGCAAAAAAGCAGAAGAATACAACCCATAAGGAGGCGAAATAGACACAGAAATGATACAGATAGATTTACCAAAATAGCCATTAAAAAGTTATTATAAATATACTCTATGTTCAAAATATAGAATGTATGACATGTTAAGGAAAGGCATGGACAATATAAAAAGACTCATATCAAACTTCTAGAAATGAAAACTACAATGTCAGAGATGACCAACACACTTATAGTATTACCTGCAGAATATACTGAAGAATTAAAAAAAAGTTATTAAAAAAAAGAATTAAAAAAAACACTTGAAGATGTAGCAACAGAAACCACCCAAAATGAAATGAAGGGGACAAAACAATGACAGCAAAAATGAGACATGACACATTAGGCAGCCTAATTAATATACATGTAATTGGAGTCACAGGAGGAAATGAAAAGGGGAGTCAGAAAAAAAGTTTATTGAGAAGTAAAAGCCAAAAACTTACCAAATGTGATGAAAACTACAAACTCACATATATGCAGAAAAGAGTTAACATAGTTGGCCTGAAGTAGCTATCCTTAGAAAACCCTGCTTGCAAAACTGGTCCTTGCCTAGCTTCTGAAAACAGATTTCAGGAGAATCTTCATCATTCCATAAATGATAAATAATGGTGGGTCACTGTGCCTAAACTGTGCAAACAATATGGTTTATACTGAATACCTATTTTCTTTCTGAAGTCTGGAATTTGGGTAGATTCTAGGGAGAGGGTGCCTATGTTACCAGTCCCTAATAAAAACCCTGAGTCTCTAATGAGTTCCCTAGTACATAACACTTCACACATGTCATCTAAACATTTTGCTGAAAGAATTAAGCATATACTGTGTGACTCCACTGGGAGAGGACTCGTGGAAGACTGCTGATTTAAATTTGCATTCTTTTGGCCAGGCATGGTGGCTGACACGTGCAATTCCAGCACTTTGGGAGACCAAGGTGGACGGATCCCTTGAACACAAGGGTTCGAGACCAGCCTGGGGAAGATGGCAAACTACATTATACAAAAAACACAAAAATCAGCCAGACATGGTGGCACATGCCTGTAGGACCAGCTACTCTGGAGGCTGAGGTGAGAGGATCACTTGAGCCCAGGAGATCAAGGCTGCAGTGAGCTATGAGCGCACCATTGCACTCTAGCCTGGGTGACACAGCAAGACCCTTTTTTACACCCTTTTTTTCACCCTATTTTTGTATCCTTTCAGCATAATAAATGATGGCCATGAGTATGACTATATGCTCAGTCCTGTGTATCCTCCTAGTCAACTGCTGAACCTGGAGGTGGTCTTGGGGAACCCCTAAAACACCATAGATTCAAAAGGCTTGACAAACACCAACTGAAAAATCATACCAAGGCATATCACAATCAAACTGCTTAAAACCAGTAATGAAGAGAAAAATCTTAAAAGGTCAAGAATGAGAATAGCTTCAAGGTTATGGACAGCAACTTGAGCTAAGATAATGAAGCAATGCCTTCAAAACTTCGAAGGAAAATTATTTCCAACCTAAAAATTCTATACAAATTTTCAATCACACATCAAAATATGACAAAAGCATCTTCTGACATACCAAATAATTCCTCAGGAAGTTACGGTAAGATGTGTTCAACCAAAACAGAGTGAAAACCAAGAAAGAGGAAAACATGAAATCCTGGATAAAGGAGCACAATACAGGACAGAGGTCAATAAATTCCCAGAATGATAGCAAAGTCCGGGTGACAATGTTCGCGAAAGGAGAGAGGACGCTGAGTTCAAACTGGAGCAGCTAGGAGGCTGTGGGAAAGAGTTCTCCAAAAAAATGAAACTCACAGAATGCCTGCTGTCTGAAAATCTTAACAAGAGAGCTAGGCAATGATGAAAAAGTATTTTTTCCCATCAATAAGTAAAACTAGATGAACAAAAACCAAAATAATTATTAAGTCTAGGAAAAGCAAATAGTTGCAAAGGATAATAATATTTCCCTTGGCTATCAATATTATTTATTCACAATTGTGTAAAATGCTGAATATAATCTAACCAAACTTTGATATATCTGCACTGGGAGAACAGTGGGATAAAAAAAGTTCAGCGTGCAGTGAGGGTGGGAAGTGAGCGAGAAGAGAGATCAATATTTATCCACGTTGAGAAGTACAGCACAAGCATGTTATTTAGAGATAAGCGAGTAAAGAAGAAAAGAATCCCCTAAGAGTCAAAAGTGGTTGTTCTTGAGGAAGGACAGGAAAACACACACACACACACACACACACACACACAAAACAACTATGATTAGCAGATGTTATACAGAGACTAAAAGTTTTGAAATAATTCATTCTTACCTTGGGAAGCTCCGATAGCTTCTCATCACTTGTCAAAGACTGATTACTTGCACAAGAAGCACAGTCTGAGATTTCCACAGCACCCTCATCATCTTCAAATTCATTACAGTCACTAGCCTCTGCCCTGTCACTGTCGATCTCCCAGTCAATAAACTGTAATTCACCTAAAAAATACAATTTTTAACTTGCTTAATTATCTCCTTAATCTTTCACTTTTAAATCTCCTTTATTCTTAGTAGTTATCCATGTCACTTAGTAATTTTAAAAAACATATCTAGGGCCAGGCACAATGGCTCATGCCTATAATCCTAGAGCTCTGGGAGGCCAGGGTGGGCAGAATGCCAAAACTCAGGAGTTCAAGACCAGCCTGGTCAACAAGATGAAATGCTGTCTCTATTAAAAATACAAAAAATTAGCTGGACATGGCAGTGCACATCTATAGTCCCAGCTACTCAGGTGGCTGAGGCACCAGAATCGCCTGAACCCGGGAAGTGGAGGTTGCAGTGAGCCGAGATCGTGCCACTCAACTCCAGCCGGGGCAACAGAACGAGACACTGTCTCAAAAAAAAAAAAATTTAGACAGTGAAAAGTATATTTCTACTCTCATCTCAAATCACTGTTTCTCCCAAATCTTACTCCAACTCCAATTTTAAGTTAACTACTTTTATTGTTTCTGTATCCTTGCAGAGTTTCTCCAGCATGTTTAAGCAAATAAACTATGTATTATTTTTTCCTCCTTTCTTACACGGCTAGACTTTTTCACTAAACATAATTAAGAGGATATAGTAGGATTGCTTGAGCCCAGGAGTTTGAAGTTACAGTGAGCTATGATCCACTGCACTCCAGCCTCGGTGACAGAGCAAGACCTCATCTCTTAAAAAAAACAGCCACTATAATGATTTTAACAGACTGAAGGTCCAGCCACCACTGAGAGAAGCAGATGCATAATGGCAACTGCTTCCCACATAAACATCAAATTCAGTCATGGAAGCCAGGCAGGAGAACACATTAGAGATTTTCCAGGCTGCTGAACCTTCCCAACAGGAAGCCAGGGACAGACAAGGGAAAAACACAAATGCCCTCAGAGCTGCCGCCAGTATCACACATCTTTGCAGCCCTCGTTCATTCATTCACTCCTTCATTCATTAGACAAAGCAAGTGCCTAAAAAGAGCCCATCACACCATTCAAGATACTCACAATACGAAATAAATACAAGAGAGAAAACAGCACCATTCCTAGCCTGAAGTAGCCCACAGATTAATACATATTGCAATGTGATGCATGCTATGAAATAACTGGCGCTTTCATCACAAAACTTTTGTGGTCACAAAACTTTTAAAAAACAGGAAGACTGCTACTATTACACTTAAATTTGCATTTTACAGATGAGGAAATTGGATCTCCAATAATTTAAGAGATTTTCCGAAAGTTATAAAAACTTTTAGACAATTGCTAAAAACCAAATGGAAGGGAGGCTGGGCACGATGGCTCACATGTGTAATCCCAGCACTTTGGGAGGCACAAACCATACTATTTACCCATAAAAAGCATAAACTTTGTATTCTGAAATGTATGAAGACAAACCAAGAGTTATGTAACAATAAATTTAATTTACTATGGTCGAATTGCTATCAGCTTATATATAATCCTAAAATACCACTTCACCTGGTAACTACTAAAATGTCAATGGAATTAATAGTTACCAAAATGACATACAAAGTGGTCAAAAGAACTTAACTACCCTCCCGAGAAGCTGTCTCTGTACAAACCTAACCCTAGGTAACTAACATGAACTGTCAAGAGTTAAAAGTCACAAGCTTATTTTGAAAATATTAAGACATTTAAATATTCTACAGATTATTTGTATATTTTAAAAATTCTAAAAGGACATGATTTCCATAATTCTACATCTGTGGTTATCAACTAGGGGTAATTTTTGTCCTTCAGGGGACCCTTGACAACATCTGGAGACATCTTTGGTTATCATCACTGTGGTTGGGATCCTACCGTGACCCAGCAGGTAAAGGCAAGGGACACAGCAGAATATCCTATAGGCAGAGGAAGGTGCTACTCCCCATAACAAAGAATCATCTGGCCCAAAATGTCAAGAGTGTCAAGGATAAGAAACTCTGCTTTCAATTGTCTAAAACATGACACAATATAAAACGCCATCTGAATAGAAATTTGTCAGTACGTTACACCTCTACCACACACTGGTTGTCACAGTATTTACCCAACAGGTTGGGAAGAAGGCAGTGTGGGCGTGGCACTGTGTAGAAGGTGAAAGAACTGGCTATGGAGCAGAGAGACCTAAAATGGAATCCCAATCCATTCCATCAGTCCAAGCTTAAGTTGTTAACTATAAAAATAATATCTGTAATACCTATCACCTAGAGTTGTTTTGAGAAATATTAAACAAGAAAATGTTTCTGAAGTGTTTAGCATAGAGGGTGGAACTCAGTAAAATCCTAACTATTAGAAAGGAATTTAATTTTCATTCTCTGGGACAAATGCCTAAAGGTGCAGTTGCTGGGCTATATGGTAATTGCATGCTTAGTCTTTAAGAAACTGCCAGACTCTTTTCCAGAGTGGTTGTACCATTTTACTGTACACCTGTGATGTACTGGTGATCCAGTTTCTCCACAACCTCACCAGCATTTGGTATTGTCACTATTTTTTATTGTAGCCATTCTGATAGGTGGAATGTTAATGATAAATACTAGAAAGGAATGTAAGTTTCTTCCAATATTAAATCCAATATTTAACAGAAACTGGATTTCTAACAAAATTATCAATTTACCTTCACTAGTCCCATCTTCTGGACACACAATGTTCCTGTTACAAAATCTGTCTATTCTAGAGCAATGTCCATTATCTCTCTGTAATTGAGAAAGTGTCTTATCTTCATCCGAAAAATCACTTCCACTGGAACTCCATGTTATATCTGTAAGCCCACTGGTGCTTTTAAATGTGGTAGTTTCTGTTGAAGAAAAAGAAAGCACATAAATATCATCTCCTTATATGGTCATTTATCAGAATACAATTTTATGTGTGTAATTTTGCCAAAGTCACAAATACACAAAACTCTGTGATAGGAAAAGCAATGTCTACGTCAAATCTTTCTACCTGAAGTTCTATGCACAATCTCACTAACATTCTCTTGAGTTCGAAGCCAAGTTCCAAGAAGAAAAAGAAGTAGAACTGGTTAAGTTATACAAAAAAAGGAAAGTCACTAGAGCACAAAAGAAAACCAGAAAAATAAGACCTGAAATAACATTTTATAAAAGTATAACTTCCTGGGGTATTTGATGAAAACAAAAAATTTTTTAAAATGCAAAACACAAAGTCAAAACTTATGAGTAACAGGAATGCTTCTGTGTGCTTCCTTTGCCGTGCTAAGAGCTCTGGGAGCAAGGTGCTTAAAACACTTAAGACCAAACACTGTATTTAATTACACTTTTTATTTTGAGATAATATTAGATTTATATACAGTTGTAAGAAACAACAGAGAAAACTCTTGTATCCATCACCCAGTCCCTCCAATGGTAACATCTTGCAAAACTGTAGTACAACACAACCAGGATACTGACACTCATCCAGTCAAGATACAGATCACTTCTATCACCACAGGATGCCTTGCATTACCTTTTTATAGCTACACCATCTCCTGGCCCCATACCAATCCCTGAACTCTGTCAACCACTACTCAGTTTTGCATTTCTGTAATTCTGTCATTATAAAAATGTTATATAATCGAGACCAGCCTGGCCAACATGGTGAAACCCCATCTCTACTAAAAACACAAAAAAATTAGCCGGGCGTGGTTGCAGGTACCTGTAATCTCAGTTACTTGGGGAGGCTGAGGCAGGAGAATTGCTTGAACCCAGGAGGCAGAGGTTGCAGTGAGCCAAGATTGAGCCACTGCACTCCAGCCTGGGCAACAAGAGCGAAACTCCATCTCTCTCTGTCTCCATCTCTCTCCCTTTCTCTCTCCTCTCTCTCTCTCTCTCACACACAAACACACACACACAGGTTATATAAATAAAATCACTATGTAACCTTTTAGGATCGACTTTTTTCACTCAGAATAATTTCTTAGATATTCATCTAAGTTATCAACATTTATTTTCTTTTTATTACTGAATAGTACACCATGATACTATGCACCAGTTTGTTTAATCATTCACCTACTGAAGGACATCTGTGTTGTTTCTAGTTTGGGGCTATTATGAACAAAGCTGCTTATAAACATCTGTGTACAAGATGCTATGTAAATTTAATTTTCATTCTCTGGGACAAATGCCTAAGCATGCAGTTGCTGGGTTATATGGTAATTGCATGTTTAGTCTTTAAGAAATCACCAGACTGCTCTCCAGAGTGGTTGTACCATTTTACTGTACATCTGCAATGTACTGGTGATCCAGTCTCTCCACAACCTCACCAGCATTTGGTATTGCCACTATTTTTTATTATAGCCATTCTAATAGGTGGAAAACGTAGCCAGAATGGGGCTATTTCATCTTGGTAGAATCAAAAGTCAACAGCAAACTTTTCTGATATTGGTCAGAAAAGGAATATATACCTAATAAAAATCAATTATTCTGTTTATATTCATAATTATAAATATAATGCTAAAACATATATATGTACATATATACATACATATCTTATCCTACGTGGTATATTTGATATATTTCAAAGCACATTTCAATACACTATGAAATGAAGAGATTAGATATTTATAAAATTCATGTTTTACAAAAAATAAACCTAGGCTTCATCAGATACATATTTACAGAACCCCTCTGATACAGTAAACGATGAGGAAACAAAAAAAACTCCAGCCTAGGCAACACAGTGAGACCCAATCTCTACAAAAAATTAAAAAATTAGCTGAGCATAGTGGTGCATGCCTGTAGTCCCAGCTACTTGGAAGTCTGAAGCAGGAGGACGAGTTTAAGAGCAAATGTTTGAGGCTGCAGTGAGCTATGACTGCACCACGGCACTCCATCCTGAGTGACAGAGTAAGATCCTATCTCTAAAAAAGAAAAGAAAAGAGAAAAGAAAAGAAAACTCCTTCCCACAAGGAACATGTGTGATCTGGAAGGAAACACTAATCATGAAAAAAACTAACACTATACCAGACGTATGTCATGGAATAGTGGTGGTACAAAAAAACTGAATGTTCCACTTTGCATTGATTAGGAAAAGAGGATTCACTAACACGATGATGTCTGAAAAAACAGTATTTACAAAGGCAAAAAACATGGAATAGTCAACATTTACTGAACACTTACTACTTTGTGCCACAAACATCTAGAATTACTGAAGTGGCCTATTGTTCATGTTATCAAAGGAAAAATAAACTATTCAGAACATTCTAAGAATCTATATCTATCTAAAAAGCTAATAAACTGGGTACTTGTAAGAGACATTATCGATCTCTATCATTATTGTGCATTTGAAAAGTAAGTCAAGAAGCAAGTTATCGACCAGGAGCAGTGGCTCACGCTTGTAATCCCAGACTTCGGGAAGCCGAGGCGGGTGGATCACGAGGTCAGAAGCTCAGCACCAGGCTGGCCAAGATGGTGAAACCCCATCTCTACTAAAAATACAAAAAATTAGCCAGGCGTGGTTGTGGGGCCCGTAATCCCAGCTACTCCAGAGACTGAGGCAGACAACTGCTTGAACCCAGGAGGTGGAGGTCGCAGTGAGCAGAGATCGCGCCACTGCACTCCAGCCTGGGTGACAGAGTGAGACATCATCTCAAAAAAAAAAAGAAAAGAAAAGGAAGTTATCACTATTTGCAAATTATAAAATGAATTCATGGAAAAGTCAAGAAACCAACTGAAAAATTACTACCATTAATAAGAAAGTCCAATAAAGGTGGCAAGGTACAAACTACGATACAAAATCAAATTTAAAGCAGTAGAAAAAACAATAAAATACCTACAAGAAACTTAAGTGTCGCGGGAAGTCAGGGACCCCAAATGGAGGGACCAGCTGGAACCATGGCAGAGGAACATAAATTGTGAAGTATCATTTTAATATGGACATATATCAGTTCCCAAAATCAATACTTTTACAATTTCTGTACTTCAATCTCTGAACATAAATTGTGAAGATTTCATTCTAATATAGACATTTATCACTTCCCAAATAATACTTTTATAATTTCTTATGCCTGTCTTTAATCTCTCAATCCTGTTATCTTCGTAAGGTGAGAATGTACCTCACCTCAGGACCACTATTGTGTTAAACTGTACAAATTGATTGTAAAACACATGTGTTTGAACAATATAAAATCAGTGCACCTTGAAAAAAAAGAGAACAGCAATTTTCAAGGAACAAGGGAAGACAACCATAAGGTCTGATGGCCTGTGGGGTTGGGCAGAATAGAGCCATATTTTTCTTCTTGCAGACAGCCTATAAACGGACATGTAAGTAGGGAAGATACCACTAAATTCTTTTCCCAGCAAGGAATATTAATAATTAAAACCCTGGGGAAGGAATGCATTCCTGGGGGGAGGTCTATAAATGGCCTCTCTGGGAGTCTCTCTCCTATGTGGTTGAGATAAGGACTGGTCTCCTACAGTACCCTCAGGCATAATAGGGTGGGGGAAAAAACCCACCCTGGTGAATTTGAGGTCAGATGGGTTTCTCTTCTCAAACCCTGTTTTCTGTTGTTTAAGATGTTTATCAAGACAATACGTGCACAGCTGAATATAGACCCTTCTCAGGAGTTTTTGATTTCGCCCTTTGCCTTGTGATCTTTGCTTTGCCCTTTGCCTTGTGATCTTTATTGTCCTCAGAAGCATGTGATCTTTGTTCTTCTTTTTGCCCTTTGAAGCATGGGATCTTTGTGACCTACTCCCTGTTCGTATACCCACTCCCCTTTTGAAGTCCTTAATAAAAACCTGCTAGTTTTGCTGTTCAGGTGGGCATCATGGTCCTACCGATATGTGATGTCACCCCTGGAGGCCCAGTAGTAAAATTCCTCTCTTTGTACTCTTTATTTCTCAGCTGGCCAACACTTAGCTAAAATAGAAAGAACCTACGTTGAAATACTGGGGGTGGGTTCCCCTGATACTTAAGAGACATGTAAAACCAAAGTACACGTTTTTAGACTTCAAAAGAACATAAAAGAACAAACAGAAAGACATATACTAAGATTTTGGATGATCCGATCAGAAAAAACTGACCTCACTGCCTTGAGGCTGAGCATCTTTTCATACATTTGAAAATCATTTATATTTCCTTTTTTGAAAGCAGTCCCTCCATAACCATTATTTTTGCAATAGTTATCTTTTTTCCCCTAGATTAAGTTCTGACGGTTCTTTATGAGAAAGATCAGCCTTGGTCTGTGACATGAGTCACAATATTTTCCCTGGTTTTTCTGAATTTTAAATTTTGTTTATGTACGTGTAATTTTTTGTAAGAGATGTGGTCTTGCTATGTCGCCCAGGATGGACTGCAGCAGCTGTACACAGGCATGATCACAGCACACTGCAGCCTCAAACTCCTGGGCTCAAGTGATCTTCCTGCCCTATACAATACCAGACTTATATATGTAATTTTGGCCATGCTATTTTTCCCTTTATGTTTAGGTGAATTTACAGCTTTATTCGTACAGTTCCTATGTTACGAATCATTCATTGAAAAGCACTTCCCAAATGTAATGCCTTTTTTCAGCCAGCAGCTGTGGTGCCTGAGAGGCACATCCAGGCAGTTTAGCTTCTGAGTCCATGTTCTTAACCATTATGCGTGGCTCCCAAGTCAGAGAGACCTGCAGTTGTTTTCACGATTAGTTTAGTGTGAGTATCTTAAGAAAATATGTAACTGTCTGATGCTTATGTACCATCTAATTTAAAAGGTAGGATAATCATTAGTTATGTCATTCAAAACCTCAGAGACCAGGACTCTAGATTTATAAATCCATGAATTATAGGCACCTGACTGCACAACTAGATAGTTAAAACCACTACCATCTCAAAAAAAAAAAAAAAAAAAAAAAAAAACCACTACCAGGAATTGATTAGCAACTCATTTTACTTGCTGAAAAGAGGGTGTCCTTGATATCAAGGCTCATCCCAACGGAACCATAGGATAAATATTAGCCAGACTGAACATTTCTGGGTGCCCACTGTGGGCTAGGCACTGTCCTAGCACCTGGTGTTATGAGCTGAACTATGTTCCCGCCCCGTCCCCCAAAATTCATATGTTGAAGTCCTAACCTTCTGTACCTCAGAATGTAACTTTATTTGGAGACAGGGTCTTCATAGAGGTAATCAAATTCAAGTAAGGTAATTAGGGTGGGCCCTAATCCAAGATGACTGAAATCCTTATAAGGGGAAATCTGGACACAAAGACAGACATGCACAGAGAAAACAATGTGAAGAGACCTGGGGAAGAGACAGAGGAAGAACGCAGTATCTACAAGCCAAGGAGAGAGGTCTAGAACAGATTCTTCCCCCACAGCCCTCAGAATGAACCAACCCTGCCAACAGCTTCATTTTGGAGACTGGCCTACAGAACTGTGAGACAGTCAGTTTCTGCTGATTAAAGCCACCCAGTTTGTGGTACTTCCAAAGGCCATAATACAGCCTTTGGAAACTAGTTCAGCAGTGATATAAAGATGAGCAACAGATGGGGTCTGCCCTTAAGAAGCCAGTGGTCTAGTGGGGAAACAGGCAGGTCAAGAAATAATAATTATTAGTAATTTTTTATTAGCCGGATAATTTTAGTTTTTTCCTTTTCTCATTAGTGTCAATTGCTATAATATTCAAAGATCAAGTTAATCTTGGTTTCTAAACTTTTATAATATGTCGGGGGGAAAAGTATTTTTCTTTAGCAGATATGGCTTGAATCTTTTCTGGAGATTTTAAACATGTATAAGTAAATTCAACTTTGAAAAAGAAACATTAAATAAGTTGTTACCTTGTATTTCATAACAAAAATACATTTTTGGATGATTTTCCCATGCCACTACTTATTTGACCTATACTCTGGTGTACTTTCTACTCTATAGAATGATCAATATATTCTGAAAGGTTAGAAGAGCTTGTATGAATGTATGGTTACTTTATTTATAACATACGCAGCTTGCTAAGGCAAAAAATCATTATTAATAACTTAATAAAGGCTCGCTATTTGTAGTGGAGACTGATAGAAAAAGAGACTCGAGGAATTTCGTAGAACTGGTTCATTTTTAACAGGTTCATTTAAACTAATACTGAAGTATTAGTTTAAGACATCCTATTAACAAAAATTCCAGGATAAAAATTCTATACTACATTTTGGGTGAGGAGGCAGTATTTTTATGACAGCTGGGAAGCAGAGTCGGGGAACATGCTTTTGTAATGTGTGCCTAAGGTCAGAGGCTTGTCTTCGCCAACAGCTTCTGCAATTCCATCAGAAGATTATAGTATTTAAAAGATGTGTACAGTTTATTTCATAATACAACATTTTATAAATTTTAAAGAAACATTTTTGGTAAATTTTCTTTTTCATTTGTATAGAAAAGAATGCATGTCACTGAAATAATAACATGGTTTAGAATGTCACAGAAAGTTATGCCACTGACATACGAGCAACTGCTGTCATCAATCAAGCACCTACTGAAGCACCTCTAGGCATTTAATCTACTATTTTTAGCTCACTTAATATTCATAATAACCCAATGATTATACCCATTCTCCAGATACAAAACTGAGACTGCGAATGTTTAGCTTAGTTTTCAAAGATTATAGAGCTAGGATGCAGCAAGATCCCGGAAGTCACAAGCCCTCACTCTTCCTACACACCCACAGCGGGGCTGACTGCCTATGGCGGCAGAACCAGCGGCCAACCTAATATCCACCCACCGCCTCTTCATTACTAATAACCCCAGTTTTCTTTAGCAGCAACATACCTATCTAAAAATCCTTAATTTCACTAAAGTATCTTTAGTGGAGGTGACCCTTTGTAACAGGTTCTAGTCAAAGGTAGACTAGACTGGGAAGGGCATTCCTTCCCAAAAGAAAGGCAAAGCTGACTTGGCAAAAATCCTCAGCACCTACACTCTACCAAGAATTCAGCCTGGAGAATTCAGCCACCACCTACCGACCATGAGAACCAATCCCACACTCAGGCTACAGAATTCAGAAAGAATTTAGCCCTCTGGATGTCCTGCTGCAGGAGACAAATTCAACCTCATTTATCCAAATACTCTAGTGTTTGAACAGTTTTCTACTACTTATTTAAAGTTCCCTAATTCATCAAGAAAGAATTTCAGAGCCTGAAGCAGTATAGTTCTTTTGGCATAGGTCACGTTTCCTTCCCAAATCTGATTTAAAAAAAAAAAAACCACACAAAACTCTGGAGCTATGAGCATGAACTAAACCTACTGGGCTCTGTGATAAAAATGAACTCAGGGGCCAAGCACAGTGGCTCACGCCTGTAATCCCAGCAATTTGGGAGGCCAAGGCAGACAGATCATGAGATCAGGAGATGAAGACCACCCCGGCTAACACGGTGAAACTTCATCTCTACTAAAAACACACAAAAAAATTAGTTGGGCACAGTGGCGGGCACCTGTAGTCCCAACTACTCGGGAGCCTGGGGCAGAATGGCGTGAACCTGGGAGGTGGAGCTTGCAGTGAGCCGAGGTCACACCACTGCACTCCAGCCTGGGCGACAGAGCGAGACTCTGTCTCAAAAAAAAAAAAAAAAGAACTCAGCAAGGACACACACAAAAATGTTAGTTAGGTGGGCAGGAGAAATGGGGTAGATGGTGACAGCGACGACAGAGTTCTCAAAAATACCTTTTTACCTTGTCTTGATGTTTTTTAACTATGAATGTAGTCTCCCCAAACCATGTAACTTTTTTAAAAAAACAAATTTTTAAAATAATCACAGAAGGATTTATTAGTCTTATATCTTCTCTGTCAAGAAATCAACAAAATAGTTACCTTGCTTGGGTCTAGGGGATAATTCAAGGTGTTTTTCTGTAATTGTCTTCTCTTCAGCTGTTAATGACTGCAGGCAAAATAATAATCATGGAATTTATGTGACAAATGCAAAAAAAAACTTTTATAAAATATTCAAAATCTTAAACTATACTCTCCTTAACATATTCTTCTCTGATTTCCTTTACCAATTCACCAATTTCAGTATTCCCAAAGCATGTACTCCTTATATATTTATAAATTTGGTGTATTTTTCCAGAATCTAAAGAGATCTGACTGACCAAAACGTTTCATATTAACATTCAATGTAATATCTGCTCACTCATATGACTCTGACTGCCTATGAGGTACTCATTACTACTCATACCCAAATATCTTGAGTTTGTAATAGCATTCCTCCGTAAGTACACAAACACACAAAAATTATCCAGAACATCTCATTGCCAAAAGATTCTGAATATACAGGCATACCTTGTTTTATTGTGCTTCACAGATAAAGTGTTTTTTACAAATTGAAAATTTCTGGCAATCCTGTGTCAACCAATTCTGTGTGCCATTTTTCCAACAGCATCTGCTCACCTATAAACTTGTGTCTCTGTGTCATATTTTGATAATTATCCCAAGATTTCAAACTTTATCATTATTATTAAATCTGCTATGATGGTCTGTGATCAGTGATCTCTGGTATTACTACTGTAACTGATTTGGGGTGCCACAGTCAAAACCAATATAAGAGAGCAAAATTAATAAATGCTGTGTGTGTTCTGACTGCTCCACCAACCAGCTGCTCCTCCATCTCTTGCCTTCTCCTTAGGCCTCCTATTCTCTGCAACACAACAATATTAACATTAAGTCAATTAACAACCTTACAGTGGCCTCAAAGTGCTCAAACAAAGGAAGAACTGAATGTTTCACACCTTAAATCAAAAGTTGGAAATGGCCGGGCACAGTGGCTCACACCCGTAATCCCAGCACTTTGGGAGGCCAAAGTGAGTAAATCACCTAAGGTGAGGAATTCGAGACCAGCCTGACCAACATGATGAAACCCCGTGGCTACTAAAAATACAAAAATTAGCTGGGCGTGGTGGCAGGCACCTGTAATCCCAGCTACTCGGGAGGCTGAGGCAGGAGAATTACTTGAACCTGGGAGGCGGAGGTTGCAGTGAGCCAAGATTGCACCACCCCAAGTGACAGAGACTCCATCTCAAAAAAAAAAAAAAAAGTAAAGAAAAGCTGGAAATGATAAAGCTTAGGTAGCAAGGCATGGCAAAAACTAAGATAGGCTAAAATTTAGACCTCTTGCACCAAATTGTTAAGCCAGTTGTGAATGCAAAGGAAAGTTCTTGAATGAAACTGACAGTGCTACTCCAGTGAATACACAAATGATAAGAAAGTAAAACAGCACTATTGCTAATACAGAGTTTTAGCAATCTGGATAGAAAATTGAACCGCTATAACATTCCTTTAAGCCAGAGCAGAATTCAGAGCAAGGTCCTAACTCTCTTCAATTCTACAAAGGCTGAGAGAGGTGAAGCTGGAGAAGAAAAGTCTGCAACTAGCAGAGGGTGGTTCATGAACAAATCATCTCCATAACATAAAAGTACAAGGTAATGCAGCAAGTGATCTAGAAGATCTAGTTAACATCACTGATGAAGGTAGCTATGCTAAATAATAGATTTTCAATAGAGATGGAAGAGCCTTATATTAGAAGATGATGCCATTTAAGACTTTCGTAGCTAGAGAGAAGTCAATGCTTGGCAATAAAGCTTCAAAGAACAGACTGATACTCATATTAGGGGCTAACGCAGCTGGTAACATTAAGTTTAAGCCAATGCTCATGTATCATTCTGAAAATCCTAGCGCCCATATGATAAATCTGCTCTGCCTCTGCTCTATAAATGTAACAACAAAGCCTGGATGACAGCACATCTCTTTACAGCATTCTTTACTGTAATACTTTAAGTCCACTGTTGAGACCTGCTCAGAAAAAAAAAGATTTCTTTCAAACTATTACTGCTGATTGACAATGCACCTGGTCACCCAAGAGCTCTGATTGAGAAGCACAAGGAGATTAACGTTATTTTCATGCCTGCTAACACCACTTCCATTCTGCAACCTATGGATCAAGGGGTGATTCTGACTTTCAAGTCTTATTATTTCAGATATACATGTCACATGGCTGTAGCTGCCATAGATAGTGACTCCTCTGATGGATTTGGGCAAAGTAAATTGAAAACTTTCAGGAAAATATTCACCATTCTATGTGCCATTAAGAACATTCATGATTAATGACAGAAGGTCAAAATATCAGCATTAACAGGAGTTTGGAAGAAGTTGATTCCAACCCTTATGTATGACTGAGGAGTTCAAGACTTCAGCAGAAAAACTGATGTGATAGAAACAGCAAGAGAACTAGAAATAGAAGTGCAACCTGAACATATGACTGAATTGCTGTAATCTTCTAAGAGTTGAATAGATGAAGAGTTACTTCTTATGGATGAACAAATAAAGTAGTTTCTGGAGATAAAATCTACTCCTGCTGAAAATGCTGTGAACATTGTTGAAGTGATAACAAGGAATTTAGAATATCCTATAAACTTAGTTGATAAAGCAGTGTCAGGCTTTGGAAGGATTGAGTACAATTTTGAAAGAAGTTCTATTACAGGTCAAATATTATCAGCATCACATGCTACTCAGTAATCTTTCATGAAAGGAATAGTAAATAGATGTGGTAAACTTCACTTTTACCCTATTTTAGGACACTGCCACAGTCACCCCAACCTTCAACCACCAACCTGATCAGTCAGCAGCCATCAGCATCAAAGCAAGACTCTCTCCCAGCAAAAAGATTACACCTTGGTGAAGGCTCCTATGATTGTTAGCATTTTTTTTTTAGCAATAAAATATTGTTAAATAAAGGTATATACATTGCTTTTTTAGACATAATACTATTGCACACTTAACAGACTACAGTATAATATAAATATAACTTTCATATATACCAGAAAATCAAAGAATTCATGTGATCACTTTATTGCGATATTCACTTTATTGTGTTGGTCCTGAACTAAACCTGCAGTATCTCCAGAGTATGCCTCCAGAGTAAACATGCATTTCTTGTGAAGAGTGGTATGCTAAATGGTTTCATCTTCTGAGAACATTCTTAGTAAATATCCTTCATTTACAAACAAAGAAGTAGAAAGGTTCTGCATGGATTAAAGAGGTACAGGTGTGAGCTGGGCATGGGGGCTCACACCTGTAATCCCAACTCTCTGGGAGGCGGAGGCAGGAGGATGACTTGCAGCCAGGGGTTAGAGACCAGCCTAGGCAACACAGCAAGACCCTGTCTCTACAGAAAGTTTTTTAAAAATTAGCCAGGCGGCCAGGCACACTGGCTTACGCCTGTAATCCCGGCACTCTGAAGGCCAAGGCAGGTGGATTACCTGAGGTCAGGAGTTCCAAACCAGCCTGGCCAACATGGTGAAACCCAGTCTCTACTAAAACTACAAAAATGAGCCGCGTATGGTGGCACGCACCTGTAATCCCAGCTACTCGAGAGGCTGAGGCAAGAGAATTGCTTGAACCTGGGAGGCGGAGGTGTGGCTGTGAGCCAACCATAGCCCCCACCGCACTCCCAGCCCAGGGTGGACAAGATGACCTGCTCAAAAAAAAAAAAAAAAAATTAGCCCGGGCATGGTCCCCAGCTATTGACAGGCTTGAGGCAAAATAACCTGAAGCCCAGGAGTTAAGGGGTTCAAGGATAGCCATGAAGCTATGACCTCGCCAGCACAGCGACCAACAAAGGGAGGACTGTCTCCAAAAAAAAAAAAAAAAGTGAATACTAACTTGCCCACGATTATTAAAGGAAATGAAAGGGAAGAAAAGGGAGTGTACCAAACTAACAGTGTCCTGAAAAGTAAAAGAGAATTACAAAGAAATTGTAATTAACATGTTCTGAACCTCAGGTCCTCCTTGGGCATATCAGGAAAACAATTCCCAGAATAACCTGTACCGGAGTCCAAACGCTGAACCTCCAAGCACCCCTGACATGGCTTCCAGAGAGAGAGCAGCCTGCCCCTGCTGTCCTGAGACCTGCCTCTTCTACCTGCAGTGGTCTTTCTCCTGGAAAGATTGGCATTCTTATATCCCAACTCCTTTTTCTCTGTGGAGAATGATTAACAGAAAAATCAAACAAAAAACACTATCCAACTTCATTAAATAACATTAAGTTAACAATTTACACCCTTAAACCAGAAGTGTCCAATTAGTAAAGGCATAAGTTTCCGAAGTGTCTCTAAATCTTCCACATAAACACAACTGGACAGCAAGCCAAAAACACAGAAAACAAATTAATTCAGCACCCAAAACACAAGTGGTAAAGACCAAACCACCCCACCTCCAAGTCCAGCAGGTTCATGTCTGAGAGAAAGAAAGCCAAGGAAAGTAAGAGAGCCCAAGGACCCCGAGAACCTAGACATCAGTGCTCACAGGAAGCAAGGAAGCAAGGGTGGACAGATCTGAGAACAGCACCTGAAACTAGTGAAGACAGGGGCCCTTCTAACCGGTAAGAAAGTGAAGAGATGAGCCAAGCTGGCCACCCAAAAACTGTCACCCTGGAACTCACCTTCTTTCACTGAGAAAGTGCTGGAGTGGAATCTACTCAGTCAGCACAGGGGCAGAGACAACCAGAAAATGCCAAGATAGAGAGTCAGGGAGAAATCTACAAGACCAAATACCACAGTGGCCATATTTTTACAAGCCATATGAAAAACAACACAAGGTATGAAAGCTTTATGCTGACCAGGTCCCATGGATCAACACTGTAATCCCAACACTTGGAGGCCAAGGCAGGAGGATTCCCCATGAGCCAGGGTTCCAAGACCAGCCTGGACAACACAGCAAGACCCATTTCTAAAAAAAAAAAAAAAAAAAAACTATTTTGAGTGGCTGGGCCCATGTGGCACAAACGGACTGTAGTTCCAGCTACCAGAGGCTGAACCGAGGGGATCACACTTGAGCCAGGAGTTGAGTGCCTGCCAATGAGGCTATGATGCAACCACTGCACTCAGA